ATTGCTCTGTATTATTTGATCGATTCTTTTCATTTTTGATACTTTAAATAAAATTGAACTTTTGTCACAGTTGTATACGTGTATTTTGCCCTGGTATTTTGTTTTTTTTTATTAGACAAAAACGGAAAAAAGCTGTTTTGCTGTTGCCACTACAATAGGTTAAAAAAAAAAAAGAAAGACGAAGGAAAACAATGTTGGATAAGTAAGTGTAAATTCCTTTTCTTTTTTTTTTGTCTTGACTTTTTTGACGATTTCAGTAGACATTTTGTGAAGATGAAAAATCATCTTTTGTCGTCATCAAATCAATCAAAGAAGAAAAGTTGAAAGAAAAAAAAACAGCACAGTACAATATACACTTTTGCTTCACCACTTAACTTATGCCCTTTTTTCCTTATATATATATAAGCGAAAGCTCAGACCAATTGCCAATTATCTTTATGTTTCAAATATTTCCGATCGGTTTTTTCTGTTTGTTGTTTTTGTCATTTTTTTTTTCACTTTTTTGCATTTAACTGATTGTCAACAGACAGACCAGAAAAAAAAAGTTGTTTGTAACCGTAATTAAATTAGTTTTTTTTTTATTTTAACTTTTTTTTTTTAACAGTCGATCAGAATATAATGCCAAAAAAAAGTTAGTAGTTTTCTTGTTCTACTCTAAAATTGTCTAACAATTACCTATACAATATTCGAGTGAGTTATTTAAAACTACAAAGACAAACCAGCAAAGATACTGTTAATCAACGACGACCTAAACGATGGACGAATAGTATCATTTTTAAATACAAAAAAAAAAAGAAATTAGTTGATAGTTTGAAGCGGTATATTTTGTTGACAATTATGCAAAATCTGAGCAAAAAACTCTGAGAATTGATAATCAATGCAAATACTAAAACTTTTTGTTGTTGTTGTTGTTGTTGTTCTTATAAGTACTGTGCAAATTAAGCCACAAATCTGTATTCTCGGCAACAGAATAGGCGTTCAGCTAAATTCAGCTAAATTGAGACTAGAAAAATAAATCTCAATAGCCAAGTGAAAATGGCCAATTCAAAAAACGGCTAAAAACTATCATTATACCTCGACAACTATTATAGCTATCAACAACTATCATCGTCATCATCATCAGCAGCAGCAATACAACATCGTTTATAGACTACAAAAAAAACAGAATTTTTTATAAGTTTTGTCAATATTAATTGTTTGTTTGTTAATAACTAAAAGAATCAAAAAAGAAAAAAAAAGAAAAAAACTTAGAAAGAATTTTCTTTTGGTTAGGTCGAAAGCATTGAACGAAAAAGCGTTAAACAGAAGGCAAAACAGAACTGCGCTCGACGTATCAAAAAAAAAATTGAAAGGTGTTAAGAAGGAAACGTATTCAATGAAATCGATAGCTCAACTAAAAACAATTTTTTTGTTCAAATTTTACTTTTTTTTTTT